AAATGACTGGAAGATCTGCTTTAACTGTCGCATTCAATAACAGCAGTTTGCTCATACATGGAGTCATTTGAAATGGCTTCTTATTTATTAATGAGGCTTTTTTTTCCCCTTCAGATGTTTCACAAAGAGAACAGTTTGGGGGTTTGAAACTGTTTGGACGGAGATAACTCAAATTATGGGTCCAGGTTGGCTCTCAGTCACTCAGGTGAGCAAACCTGGAGTCGTTCTGCTCTTCCCAATGCAGCAACTCCAGGCTGGTGGCAGTGTAAACCTTGAGCAGAATTTGGCCCAATTTGGGGTCTTTCATTTTGTTTTGCCATGGAGGATTTTCCCTTCAGTATATACCTTTGCTGCACATCTATTTCAATAACCCCATGCAAAGGAATTTTGAAGACAATCCCTTATTAAACATATTATGGTCACATCATATTGGCTCGCTAGAGCAAATAATTTAAAAAAAATAATCAGCTTGAAATAAATGTTTATAAAAGTAGCACAGCTGCACATATTTGTTACAAATGCAAGACAGAGTACTGAAACTTTTCTATGACTAACCCTTTAATGTCTCTATGACAGCAGCAAATTTAAATTGAAAGTGCCAATGAAAACAAAATAATGATCATTTTTCTAACAAATTCACCTCGTAACTTCAGGCTCCTATATTGGTTAAATAATTTGCTATTATAGGTATATATTAAAAATAAATATAACTCCTTCTTGCACAAATTTACAGCATTTGGGGGAAAATTTATGCTAAAATGTCACATTACAATATAGAATAATAACAGTTTCTGCATTTACTTGATTAAAGCATAAAAAAAGTAGATTAGTTGTAACAGTGCCTTAAAAGAGTGGAGACAAATGCAGTTATTACTGAAATGTACAAATCCTGTGGCTTCTGCTGAAATAGTTTGAAACATTTACAACTGTCTACAAGAAAGAGAAATAACATTTTTACTTTGATCTCTTGCTATTTTGGCAAGTAAGATAAAATATATTAGCCATTCCATCAGATGGCTGGGGAGAAAAACTAGCTGTGATGAGGAAAAATGAATTAAAGGAGCATTAATAAAGATTATCTATGAAAAAAAATAAGGTCAAAATTAGAACTCTGCATTTTAAAGCCACCTTTCAAAATTGCAAGCTGCTTTGCCCAATGCTAAAATCCATTCATTTTACTAATCATGCAATCAACCAATTTCCATTATCTCCAGAGCTGGCTATAAACATGCTATAGACTGGGGTGAAAGAGGGAGAGTGTGAGGTTGAGAGACAGAGAGAGGGAAAGAAAGAAAGAAAGAGAGAGAGAGATTACAACACCCAGCCTTTTATAAAGCCGTTTCTTTCATTATAACAGGTCTTTTCATCCCAGTGACACAGAACCTTTAAATTTGGGCATAATGCTCCAGTACAGTACACAGCTATAGCTTCAAATGGATTTAGAACCTGCTCCAGAAAGAAAACAAACTCCCTCGCTTGACACACAAATTGTTTACGATTCATTAAAAAGCAAAATTGCATATCCCAGTGCTGGCAGCTGAGTCCATATGGGTGCAAGGGGTATTCACTCATCTCTTTGTATGCTGGCAGTACCAAACCGAAGTTTAGCACTGTGCAGCTGAGATTTTGTGCAGCCAGACGATGCATGAGGTAATTTTCAAAGCTTTATTTGTCTTTAAAACATTAAAATCTGCTCTCTAGTTTACTTTTGATGAAAAGAATGTGGCAAACGGGATGAGGTTTTGGGGGGGGGTAAAAAAAATCTATTTTTGTTGTGTGTTTTAGATTCATAATGTATGAAAAACTGCTTATTACTCCATCAATAATTGAAACTTTGTATGAAAATTATTTGCAATTAACACATCTATTGTAAAGATCTTGAATTATTCATTTCAGCTAAAAATAACGTCTCTTATCTACCACAACTTCTACAAAAAAAAGCTATTTAAGTGATTTTTTTTTTTTCTGTTAGAAAATAAATGGTGTGACGTTCAAGTTTAAGGAGAACTTTCTACAATGTTTAATCTAAACAACAGCATGTGTGGTTATAAAACTGTTTATTTTTAGGCAAGTGCATTACTAAACGTTTCCAGGATTTTTACATATTATATTCACAGCACTAAAACATCTGTGAAATAGATGTGACTGAAATGAAACTTCCTTGGACACTTTCTCTAGAGTGCTAATAACTGCCTAGTAACATTGGAGGATACTTACTAAATAATAAACACGGACCTACCTCATCATAAAAGCAGCCGATAGACAATAAAAGAGGAGTGGTAATAAAATATACAAATGGCTTGGAATAAGGCAAAATCACAGCATGATATAAATCTTGTGGCTAAAACAGGTACTTGAAAAACTTTGCTTTGAAAATGATAAGTAAAAATCAATAGCCTTATTTACAGGGGTTTAACAAGCTAAAAAAAAAAAGTCACATGAATAATCAACAGTTTATGTGCATGCAAATACCCCTTCCCCCTCCAACTTCTCCTGGCAGAAAGTCTAATTGGAAAATCAGTACTATAAGTAAAGTGGTTAGCCTTCCCTATTCCCATTAACCAAACCCTGCATGTTACATTTCACTGGCAACCGCTGGCAAACCTCTAATAGACGCTTAAAAAATTAAGAGTTTAGACAAAACAAAACGGAAAACCCCGAGCCCAAACACCTTTAAATACAAGCCACATGATATACACAATGGCCACCACCAAGCTGCAGAATAAAAACCTTCCGGATCTCACTTTTAAAAGTCTTTCAAGTCCTCTGAGGTCTTAAACTTTCCAAATGATACCAAAATTGGTCCGGGGCGGCGAGGGGGAGGGAAAGCCCCCGACTTGTTTCAGCGTATCATACAATGAAAGTGATCATGCCTTGTTTTGTAATTCCACTCGCCAGTCCTTTTTTAACTGATATCTATGTGAAATGAGCTGAGGTTCACGGTCCAGTTAGGAGCGGATAATACATTCATTGTCCTGGCAGCAAACTTTTCCTCTCACTGGAAGAATTCACGCTTGCCACAAGAATAATAATTACAGAAAACTAAAAATGCGCTGCTAACGAATTAATCCCTAACGGACAACACGCTAACGAGGGCAGTAATGATTTGAGGACTCTCTTCCTCGCAACAGGACTTGCATCTTCTGCTACAATGGGCTATTGTACATCCTCCTAACTCACTATACCTCTTATAGATTCAAGATGTCAAAGGTTGTCTGGCCCGGCTGACCATGACATGCTAGTTAACTCGTTCTACGGAGCACGTTGGGACTTTATTGAAACTTTAATTGTGCCCAAAAGCAGCTAGAGCCAGACTATGTGGGATCTGTAACACATGGCTCCAGGTCAGCACAGCCCGGGAACCTGTTCTAACGCAAACAAGCGGAGGGAAAAGTTAGATCGGGGTCTCGGATGAAAGGCAGCACCTCGCAAACCGCGCTCCTCTCACACGTGATGGTTTTACACCACGCCACGACCGCACCGTTCCAGGCTTTTACAGGGATCGACTCGCTTTGAAACGGACTGAACTTTCCACCTTCCCTTTTTACCAAATACTGCGTGGTAAAAAATGCACGCGCACACGGACGCTGGAAAGCAGCAGATAAAATAAAACAAACTGAGCGTTAGGCAGCCGACTGAGGCAAGTTACTCTGCACAACAAGGCTTTTTCAAACTACTTCTTTGCATACTTTTTTTTTTTTTTTTCCCTTAAGGAGAATTGAAAAAGCTTCCCTCTGGAAACTGTAGTGCACATTAACAGTCTCCTGTTACACAGGGGAAAGCACACAAGTGGGACAAGTGTGAGGCTGCTCTACTGAAGAGTGTGAAAAAAATCAAATGTTAATTTGATAAATGTGAGGTCTGGGACATTTTGTCAAAGAGGGAGGGAAAGTAGAAAAGGGAGAAAAAAAAAAGCAGCCCTGCTGCCAACTCACCATCCACCAAGTTCTGGCCGAGATGTCGTAGCAGAGCTGCCATTTGATGGAGCCGTCGGAGGTTTTCCCTGCCATTATGCTGTCAGCAAGCTTCATCTGATGCTAACTCACGGGAGATAAGACACCTAATTGAGAAAACATTTGCACTGGCATGTTGGGCAACATGTAGCCCGGTCCATACCATATGGAATCATGGGTAAAAAAAAAAAAATCTCCTTGACAATGAACCAATCTCTCACAGACCCAGTGGCAAGGTGAAGTGGAGATGAAAAGTCATCTGCTTCGAGCACTGTCTTCTCCTCTCTCTCTCTCTCTCTCTCCCTCTCTCTCCCTCTCTCTCCCCCTCTCTCACTCACTCTTTTTTTTTTTAAATAAGAACCCACTGCTCAACATCAAAGAGAGGCGGTCAAAATTAGGGCTTCATCACTCAGATGATTTTGGTCTGCAAGGTTTTTCTTTCCTTTCCTCTTTTTCTTTTTTAAGAAGAATAAAGAGATTTAATAGGACAAAGGCAGGTAGTGGACTGTGGAGGGAGATCGCCACAGGCTATTAGCCTAAAATTTCTGCTTGACAGATGGAACTGCTTAGAGACTATCATGCAATGTTTTGGGTGTTTTTTTTTCTTTTTTTTTTTAAAAAAAGACTTTCAGTCTGATTCAGTATCTGTTTATCGCAGCTACTTTTCTCATGTACGTGACTGGGGGGGAAAAGACTGAGGAAAAAAAAGAAAAATTATCACGTCTTTCTTTCTTTCTTTCATAATTGTGCATATAATAATTTAAGCAGTGAAAGGCAAAACAAAAGTATAAACTGTCCAAGTTTAATTTCTCAATCTAGTGATAGACGCTTTCTGAAGGAATCAATTAATCTTTCTTTTTTAAGACCCTCAAGTTTTGTCTCTTTATTGCTTCTTGATTTTAGATATCAGATCATATTGTTTAAATGAATGACTTTTCATATGAAGGTTCAAAGTGCCCTCTAAGAACTCAACAATTTCCTTTTTATATATAATGATATTTTAAAAATATCATTTTGCTACAATATTTTTTTAAACATGGTTTTTAATGTTACATTTCTTAGTCTCATCAGGTGACAACTGCCAAACTCACAGAGGTTTGTTTCTCTCTCCTGCAAAACTTCTCTGCCACGCTCAAAATTTATGTGAGGAATTGACAGATAACTTGGGAAAAGCCAGCCCCAAAACAAACTGCTTTGAAAAGTTATGAAATCCTGTTATTGTCTGATATTAAAATCTTTTCCTGTCTAGCAAAGCCAGAGATAATCATAGATTTTCTCATCTCATTTTCCCACTTTTCCTGGTGCACCGTAAACCCATCTGAAGTATTACTTTTATGACAGCTGACTATTAAGCAGGCAGTGAATGCTTTCCATTTAAATCACCCCGCTGTGTCACACGGAGCGACGGTTGCTCGGCTGTGACCACCACAGTCCCTGACAGGGCACTCCAGCCTATACAGTAGAGCTTTTCCTCAAGTGCTCGAAAAAATGAACTTCTGAACTGGCAAAAGCACTCTCGCCAGGAATATTTCTTAGGGCTGCGGAGCTGATACAACTCGCTCACTCAGAAACAGCTACACTCTGCAAATCGTTTTGTGATTTGGACACAAGAGGAAAATGTATTAAAAACATCCACTCAATTTTAAACTATATCCTTTTCTGTTTGTATTAGAAAGGGGAGCTTGTGGGTGCACAAGTCTTATTTGGATTATTTTGTATATTAACTGTTGTTTAACTATTTGGCTACAGCAAAATTGTAATTCTGGGCTGCACAAATTAATTAGAACTGCCATTCAGGACAGAACTAACTTTTACTGAGCTTCAGTAGTACCGTTGCTTTTCTGTGATGTGTGAGATGATAAGCAAATGATTTAGTGTAAGCACGAACTGCTAATGTAACATGCAGGGGTTTGAGGTTTTTTTTGTCCCGGTCTTACAATCTGGACTACACATCAGTGAATGATCTATGCTACTACAGCATCCCAGTTTGAACTTCTAGCTCCAGATAGGAGCTGCTTACAGGAAAGGGTCTGACTAGCATGGGAAGTGTTAAGTTTTATTTTGAGGCCAGGAAAAAAAAAAAAAAAAAAAAAAGATGGACACTGTGCCAGGGACTGTCCTTGCTCTGGCTAGCCAAAGTATTTATTGTCTTTTACTGCAGGTTTGCTAACGTTACCTGTCCTTTCAGTCCCACTGCTTACTGAAAAAAACCTCCCTCTCCAAATAATCACACAAAATATAAAGCAAAACTCTTAGTAACAATCAGCCCAAGAATTGGTGTCAGATTCAATTTTATGCTGCTCTCTCGGCTCCTACCTCTCAAACCCATCATCTTACCCTCCCTTCTTATTATTTATTTAGTATTTCATACCCAGTTGTGCTGCATGTCATTCCAGGCAAGTTCTGATAAATCTGTATTCTATATGGGGTTTTAGCACCTGATGTTGCTAGAGATCTACTGACAAACTTTCTCTGGATTGCTGTATTAACCGCTTCTTCCTGTACCAACATATGATTTTACCTCCCAATATTAATTGTAAACACACCAACTAAATATTTTTTTTTAGAACATACACTTTTCAGATTATGAATGACAGAAGCATGAAACCATTTCCTTCCTGACAGTGGAGTGGTTATGTGCAAAGAAATGAGGAGTGCTGTTGGTTAACAGTGTTTTAAATTCAGAACAATTAGGTGCAGTTAACTTTGCCATTGTTCTTTCTGATGCTGGGGATGGTGGGTTCTTACCCGTAGAGCAATTACTCCTTTCATAAGCGGCTGTTGTTAATAGCATTAAAACAAGATTAAATACAACATGTTAAATATTGCAATTATTGTGGAAAATAAAATTATTTGGTGAGCATAATGGGGAGCAAATCAAGCATTTAACATGATCCAGGAAATGCTACTCCAAACAATTGCATTTGTTTTATGCAATTTTTCCCCTTTGATTGCTGACAGATGCCGTTTTGGAAACAAACATCTAAGTAGTTTTCCTTCAATCAGGAAAAAAACCACACACCAGAAAATGGCTACATGTTTTGAATTTAACTCTTGTCAATCAGCATTCTGCACAACACTCCCTGTGAATAGTACTGGGACAAAACGATGCCTTCCAAAGACTAATAAACAACAAAGATATTTGCTTCTAAATCAGATCTGCTCCGGAGAAAGAAAAAGCCTTCGTGTGGCATCGACATTTTTGCAGACACAGCTGCAAAATAAAAATGCTTGCAGTATAGAGTGATATTTCAAGTTGGAAAGAAGTTAGGTGTGTGTGTTGTGGGCTACAGGAGATTTGTTTTCTGCCAGCTGTAGGCCTCAAGCAATGGATTGAAGCACTTGGCAGTTTCTTTCCGACTTCCTACTGGAGAAGTGGCCAACTACCCACAAATAATTTGCTTAATTGTTGAGCAGAGTTACCTGCTGCAGCTCACACAGCACGAGCAGGCCCCTCTATCTTCCCTTAGCTGCAACTTTGGATGAGGATATCGTTGTTCCTCTCAAGTGCACAGAACCAGGAAAGAATGCTAAAAAAAGGCTAATAAAGTATATTAATTCAGATGACTGTATCAAGCTGGCATTTTACAGTCTACTGGAAACTGAATGCATGAGAGCATTAGAAATGTTGGCATAGTGGGTGGTTTCTCCAAATGTTGGCTTCTAATGTTCACATCGGCACAAGAAACGCGGTAGAATGGCGAGCAGTTCGCAGTTCCAGACACATCTTTAGGATCTTAGACCTCATTATTAGATTATCTATTACTTGTACGATACCCATTGCTCATTAACCCTCTCTTTGTTCCCTTTGCCTCCCCCTATTTCTCCAGTTGCAATTGCTCAGAACCTTTTCAGCTCATTGCAACAGTGTGATTTAGATCTGCTCCTAATTTCGGAGGCGTTTTCCTTGGGAAGCCTCAGCTTCGATGAGTTATGAGGAGGATTTCCTTATCTCAAACAGCGACAATTAGTTCAAGTGCCACGTGAGAGCAGGCAGTTGATTTTTGGGCAGCCTCTGAACTGATGCAAAGTTTCTGACAAGGAGTGTGTTCTAGCTTTTGGAAATCCTGTAATCCTGGCTTCAATCAAGAAGATCTGCTGTTGCTGAAGGCGTAAACAAGGAGAGAAGCAGCATGTGACCACTGCTGCTGCACCTTCAAGGACTCCCGAGCCAAAATCAGCACAATGGTAAAACTTCTACTGGTTACTTAATGTTACACACACATTTTGGATGATCTTCTTGAGCCCAGGGAAAGTAGTCCTTTGCCCTCTGCAGGAAAAGTTGGGTTTGGACTCTGCATTTCCCCCTGTAGCTCTGTTGTGTGTGTTTCTCCCTGCTCCCCTCTCACTCCTCTGATTTTCTTCCTACCATCTGTATTCCCCTTTTCCCTCATCTGAAACAAGCATCAAGATCTTGTTTCTGACAGAACGGTCTGTCAATATGGAAACACACTGACATCACAGACAGTGCTGTGACTTCATGTCTGAAAGAAACAGGAGGAACAGATGAAAGGACTGAAGGCGAAGGAATGACACATACAAACATTTTTAAAAAATAAGTAAAAATTCTTCTCTATCAACCCAAAATGCAAAGGAACATAAACCAGATTTATTTTTAAGTCTAAATATAACCAACTATTTCCTAATCTGTGGCCATAACTCGGTACAACATTTCAACATGCTCTTCACCCATGAGAGGTCCCTGTCCCCCAGGAGCACACGCTTTGCTGGCTCAAGGCCCGTGTGACAGACAACATGACCTAGAGAAGGACTGAGCAGGGTTTGTAAAAAAAAGCCAATATCAAGCATATATTGGGAGAAGCCTTTAGAGGGAAAGGAGGAATCCTTCCCTGGACTAATCTGTATACCATCTAAGCAAATGCAAATTCATAGAATTTGAAACAAAAGTATTCTTTGAAATCACAGAGTCCGTTTGGATGAGGCTGGATCACAGGTAGTGCTGCCTCGGTGGGGTGGGGATACAAAACATACTCAGGAAATACTCAATGCACGTGGGTGGAATACCTTACTATGATTTTCTTTTTTTGCTCCTAGAATGAAATATTAACAAAAGGGCCTAACCATTATTTCTATTACTAACACAGGGCTTTTTTTGTAGAAGAATTTGGGAGGAGTTGAAAGCCCCACATTTCCTTTACTATTTGAATTATGTATTTGAGTTCCAGCATTAGAGGGCACACAGAAGATACTGCTTTCCTGGCATCTCCAGAGCCACTGCAACCCCTTAATAAGGAGATTCATAACTAGTAGAAGAGGAGCTCAAGAAAACTAAAAGGTTAATATATTCTAACTAGATGTTGGGTATAGAATGTCAGATCTGTCAAATTTCATTACAGTTTGGTGCTCAATGAAAAAGATTTGATTTCTTTTGCCACTGTCCTACTATGTTCAAGTCACACAGTGCCAGCAGCAACCAGCCAACGACCACAGGCTGGCACTGAGCGGGCCCGAGTGGGAAGCCAGCCGCAAGGACCATCTGTTTCCGATTTCTAGCGAAGCCAAGATGTGCAGTGAAGTGCATTCCATTCACCCAGCCAGCCTTCTCCCTGCTCAAGTTATTAGTGTTACAAGTGAAATTATCTTTTCCAAACAGCGGGGGAGCTATAATCCTTATGGAACAAGGATTTAAAAAAAGGGAAAAAAAAGAGGAGGGGAAAAAAGGGAAAAAAAAATAAAAAGGACAGAAAAAAGGCCCCCCAACACTCCCCCCTCTTCAAACATCTTTTGTCAAAGTTGTCGATGACACTGTTTGTAAATTTAATTGCCATGTTCACGGGTTTTATAATTTTAAAGGATGTTTTATTAAGAACTATATTCTCTAAGGGAAGAATGTGTACGTCAGTTCATAGGCTCTAATGTAATAAACCATTCAAATATATTTAGAGGGTTATTTATGAATAAAGTTAAAAATGACAAGATGAATGCTCATTTAAGTCTCTCTAACATGAAGTGCCTTGAAAAACATCATAGGTTTAGAAGTATAATTTAAAGTGCGAATGCATAAACAGCGCTAATTACATGCTACTTACATTGTTTCAATATGTAATGCATATGTTTAACCTCGCAGAGGAAGGATTGGTCTTGGCACAGTAATTGTGGGGATTTAAGGGTATGCTAAACTGATAACTGTAGAATGAGCTCTGACACAGGATATTGGTCTCCTACTGTTACCTAAATGCCAGGTGAAACCAAAGGATTTATAGGAGGGCAGGTGGAAAGGGGGAGGGGAAAAAAAAAAAGAAAAAAGGCTACACAATGAGGTGAAACTGAGAAGTTTATTTTCAAAGGGGGAAACATTTATCCTTTGACACCATTCCATTCCGGTGACTTTATTTCTAATATACCATGAGATTAATGATGTGGCTACTGTCACTGTGTCTGATGAACACTGGCAGAGCTGTGGAACAGTTGCTCCCCCTACTATTATTGGACATATTTATAAATTGGCATCTATATGATGAACTCATTCTGTGTGCCAGCCAATTGGAAAAGATCTTATTCAGGAGGACAGAATTTTTGTTTTCCTTTTGAGTTCTATAAGATATCCAGTTGGTTTAAGATTGGCTGATACAAAAATTTTTTAAATTAACAATGCTTGATAGTTTTCATGTCACATGATAATCTCAATACGACTCTTATGCAAATCAATTGTGGATAATTAAGGAAGTAAGTTATCATCAGGGAAAAGATCCCTGACAAACCAAAGGTGGGCCAGTATTTAAGTCCTTGCTTAGGGAGGGCACAATTGCTGAACATCACCATAATGATTCCCTATCCCATCCCTAAAGGATTTATTCATTCAAAAGTAATCCCATCCTAAATAAAAGCTCATCCTAAAGCCAGAATAGCTTGTTCCATTCATTTTCTTAGTCCCTTTCAATCTGTTTTTGCAAATCTAAAGCTATTTTCACGAGTGATTGTATAACACATAAAATGCAACTGTTGAGTCGCCTGAAACCTGATTATGAGATGAGCCCCTTCTTTGGGTTTTATTTCTTCTCTGTATCTTCAGAGGTGCAACTGGGCACTGATAATCTCTGTTCCAGGACATTATTTGAGCTATGGCTAAGTTGATATCAACATAAATCATAACTTCATTCCAAATTTTCTGTGTATCCAGAAACATCTGGATAGCTGTATGTGTTGCCCAACTTTAGGATGCCATTTTTTGCCATGAGTAAAATCTATTTCAGGCTGTCTGGTGCTGTGGGAAATAACCCTTCAGAATCTCTCCATGCAAGCTTGCTTCCATATAGGTCAGGAAGAGAGGGGTGCAGAAGGAACCAAAGAGCACAAGTGGGAGCTGGGAGGGTTGCTCCAGCCAGCTTTAATATTTGAGAGCTACAGGGAATGGGAAGACAGTGAGGCCAGCAGGTGAAAATGCAGAAATGCTGCACATTTCTGTCATTAACTTTGTCAGACATGGGATGCTGAGTGCCAATGCTTTCAGAGCCCATGGCTATTTGTGCAGGCACAGGCAAGGGTCACTTTCCAGTCTGTAGATAATGCCACAGGACTGCTTTTGGATTCAAAGATTGAAGCCTCACATGCTGTAGGAAACTAATCTCTGAACTTATCCTTTTGCTTTTACTTTTCAGTTTTTGGATAAGGATTTGCTACAAGTGGCTCATAGTGGAAAAAAAAAAGATTTTATTGTTAACCAGGAGGGACAGACAAGTCCTCAAATCTCTCTAGAAATGGCTTTCTTGCACAAGGCCTCCTGAGTTCAGCAGTGCTGGTGGACTTTCAGGCAGCAGTGCTAAATCGGTGCCTTTTATCATCTCCAGCTACATAAAAGACTGAGACTACTCCTTCCTAATGAGAGACTTCTGTAACACTCTCTGCTTAGGGCTATTCTTAAGGAATAAGGAATCCAAGACAGATGTGGCAGTGACCATCATATTACTCCCAAAGCCCAAATCCCTCAAAGCAAAGGAAATATGAACAATTAAAACAATAAATACACTGAATCATAGGAATTTCCAGTACCCTCAGTTCTAACTCCAGTTCCACACGTTAATTTGTAATTCTTGAGCCATGAATAAGTAAATCCTCTTTTGTTTAGAGAACAAGATTAAAATGCTACTAATATTAAAACCACTCCTGTTTGCTGGCTCATACATCTATTTAAATACCTGCCTATTTCTTTGCTTTACCTCTTGAGTGTCACACTTGTCCTCCTGCTAATACCAGCTGACTGGCAGCCAGCAGGCTGAGCACCACAGGTAAATACCTAGAGAAGTGCTTTGGCAGGGCTGAGCTCTGCGTAAGCAAATTTTACAAGCAAGTCAGGCATAATCTGTTGAAGTGGCTCTGGATTACTGAATATTTAACAGCAAGATAACACTTCTGTGACTGTAAAGACATATTTGCACTCCTGTGTAATCTATGGCACTGGACATCACATCATGGAAGAGAAAACTGAATGAAGTTAATTCAAAACACTTCACTCTAAACACCTTTTTTTTTTTTTCCTCCAGTTAACTGATCATAGAGACAAAAGAATTTTAGAGATGAAGCCTGTAGCACATGTGTCTTCTGGTGTGGCTCCTTTATATTTTTCAATATAGGTTTTAAAAATATGCAGGAATCTTAGCTGATAATGAAAATCAACACACCAAGAAGAGCAGAAATTTTTCAAATAATCAAGTTGAAAATTTGCCATGAGTTTAACATTTATGAAACTTGATTACTTCACATATTTGAAAATCAGGTCTTATTCAACACGTGGTGTACTTCCAGCAAAGAGGATGCTATGTAGAAATTATTTGATATTTTTTCTTGTATCCACTGGACATTCTCATTTAAATAAGACAATATAACAAATGTAATTCCTTATGGTCTTAATTCTGAAGACCTGACTTTTTCCTTGTGCTAAAGGATTTTCTTTTGCAGAGCTGGCTGACAGATTTGAAAGAACTGGTTGACATTCTAGGAACCAGAAATAGAAGGATACAGGAACTGCAGAGCATCCCTTGATACACCTCCATCTTTTCCTAGTGCAGGGATCCACCACTAAAGAGATGACACTTCTGTGAAGGCTCCTTCAGAGGGAGTTCAGGGCCAGGAGCATTCCTGGGAGTGGGTAAAACAGGAGGTGGCTCTTCTCCTGCCACCTCACCTGTCCCTTACAGGATTTCCTGCTTCTCTGGGCTGGCAGGAGTTTGCACAAACCGAGAAATGAGTCTGGGGGCTGCTTTTATCTTCATAGATGTCTCTTGAGGAATAGCTGTGAACTTCTCTCCATGCTTGGGATCAAAGGTGCTCAGTGCTAAAATGTTCAGGATTTATTTAAAAATGTACTTTGAAGCCTTCCTGGTGGGAACAGCTGGAATGTGTGTCTGTGTTACCAGCTTTAATACTATGAGCACAAACACAAGCTGAGTCACAGTGGACGACAATGCTGCTGACAACAAGTTTTAAACTGCAAACTAAAACAACAATGGGATTATTTATGGACTGCAACTCTTATTTTAATGTCAATAAATGTACTGGATAAATTCCCCTTCATTAGCTGGAAACCTCAGAAGGAAACAGAAATATTCTGGTAAACCACAAGCTTGTTCTTAGCAAATAGATGGCTACATTTCCACTGCCAAGGCATAGCCAGACTGTTTCTGCACTGGGATAATAAATCTCTGGGAGTGAAAAACAAAGTCTATAAAAGCAAGACCTACAAAGTAAGGGTGTGAGACACATGGCCCTCAAGCCTCCAGAGGATGGCATAAGAAAGTATCAAGAGTAGGTTTTTTTTCCTTTTTATGAATGGAAAACATGTTTTCCAAGATCTACCATTCAACTCAAAACAAATGGTTGGAATGAGTCCCTGTCACTATGGGAGGTGTTTGCTCTCTTATCTACTGGGCTGCAGACAGCCCAAACAGAGCGAGTTGCTTTGACTGCTGTGTGCTGCAAAATAGGAAAAAAAAAAGAGAAAAAGCACAGAAATAATGTGTTACACCTCCCTGATTCCTGAGATGTCTGAGGTGTAGAGGAAGCAGTTCTTTGTAGTATCTGACTCCATAGGTATACATCAGGCCATGGGATACACCAAATACAGGGTGCTCTAATGCTTCCCCATCCAATCTCCTGACACTCCCCTCCTGCTGGTCCTGGAGAGAAACAGAGGACCCAGAATTGTCACTGGGGCTCTCCCATCATGGGAGAAACACCATCAGACCAGCTGAGATCAGCATCCCATTCCTTGAGAATGCTTTTCAGAGGCAGACAGGACAAGGCACAACATCTTACCAAGTAATACTGATGTCTCCTCATGCTTCTAGAACATTCATGTCATACTTTCATGTCAGGATGGAAAAATCCAAACATCACAGTCACAGATTGCTTTTTTGTTCTCCTCTTTGGCACTTACCTGTCTTTACTTTTCCCTTCTAAATCTGTGGTTCTGTATCTTAACCTGTACCTAATGGCTTGTAAGCTATTTCCAAGATGGAAAATGTGGTATTCTCTTATCTGTAAAGCATTTTGTTTATTTATAGCATGACACTAATGACACTTGGAATTTGCTTCTGAGTTTTTTTCTTATTGTAAAGACTAGGCACACAAACAATTTTGTCTGGGTCTAAGTACATTCTTAACCCCATTCAATTTATTTCAGATGCTGAGTCCTCAGGAAAAGGGACCAATGACTAATAAATCAGATGTTTCTTCCTTCACCTACTGGGATCAATAAGAAGCAGGAGGAAAAGTTCTTGTTTGCATGAGATAATGCAGACAAACAGCACCATGTAGTGGGTAAGAGCATATTTCAGGCCCTAACCTTTGCACACAGCCTCAGCTTATTGAGAGTAACTTGTATTTCAGCAAGACTAAAGAACTGTTTACTAAGAAGGGAATACAGGGGTATGAGGATATGGCTTGCATATCCTTGGAAGGTGCATAATCCCCTTTTTATTGAGCAGTTTGTGTAAACCTCATACTGCGTTGGGCTTCCAAACCCACAATACCTGAATATGTTTCAAATGAGACAAAAGAGAGAGGGGCAAGAGAACTCAGCACCTTTCTGCACAGCCTCAACCCCTCCAGTCAGAAACTGATGGTACTTTGCCTATAATATCTCATTTTGTCTTTAAAATAAGTACAAAATTAGGTTTCTCCTTGTAATTGCTTCGCCTAAGAATATAGTGATCACCTTCCTAAAGGGAAACAGTGTTCACTACAGCTTATTTGTGTTGGGAAAAACTGGGGCTCTGGTGCATCATCCAAACCATTATTCCACAGTGGTTTAACCCAGACAACACTTATCAAAAATGTCACACCACAAATATGAGCCAGGAATACATTACTGGGAAAGCTGCCTGAACCAACATAAAATTAGAGAAAATGGATAAGTGTTATGTATCAAACAATGCAAACCACTTGCACAGACTGAGCATACATCACTATAACTGCTTTTATATAAATTTAAACCAAGTAAAAAAATTATGAAAACTAAACCCTGTCCCCTTTCAGTGTCTCATCAGATTGCATTATTCTGACAGCTCCACAGGAACCCAGTGGCTCTGCACTCATATTCTCCACTCATACCTGTGCCAGCATCTCCCTGACAGCAGCCACATGTTTCCCTCCTCCCTGGGGATGGGACACACTGCAAGTCCCATCCTCTCACCTCTGCACATCCCCTTGTCCTACTCTTTCTGCACTTTATTGTTTCTTAGACCTGCAGTCATCAGTTTCCCCAGTCTAGATCTCCTAGCTCAGCAGTCTTAGGTGCACTCAGCAGCAACACAAACTTATCCCATAGGTATTCCCCATCTCTCCACACAGCCAAGCTTCTGCTCAGACCTCTCTTTCTCCACAACTCTGGCCTCTTTTCATTCTCAATGCATTTCTGGTTCTTTTTCCTCCCACTTCATTCTGTAACCCCCTTGCCCTGCCCCGCTGGAGTTCTCTGGTCATTCCCACACCCACCTCTGTGGCAAGCTGCAAGTCAGAAAATGCTTGATTCATCCCACTTAGCTGGGACAATATAACACAAAGATATATAGAGACAAACAGAGAAAGCCAGATGTGTTCACTAACCCCTGTACTTTTTGCCTTGTAACACCCCAGATTACTGGGAGCAGGGATGTTATTAACTCTATACTGCACCTAACACATAGGGGCCACGAATGGGGATTTGGTTCCTGGACAATTTCATTCTAGAAAATAAATTTTATGCTAAATAAATCCCTACAGAAAAGATACTGGTAAAATCTGTCTTGTTCTAGGATTTAATAATAAATGTACTATTTGGTGCATAATAGGCAATTCATTTTGCTATGCATTTACTCTATTTAAAACATAAAGCACTTAAGGATATTTAGAGTATGCAAGACTATTAGAAAATCAATTTCTGTTCTGGTTTATAGCCCAACCACTTAAAGTCTTAATTTACTACAATTCACTTTCTGATATTCTGACTCGTTAAAGTGGATCAGCTACCTCCTGAACTCTGGTCATATGCTTGTTAGAACTAAACTATTTAATTATTGTCTACCACATCCACTCTCTCCACTTGCTTATTGCCTACATTTATTCATTTACAGCATCAGTTCAGGTTGTTTGCACTTGCTTGAGAACCTGCTGCTTCTTTTTCCAAGGTTTGGAGGAGGAAGGCTTTGGTTTCGCTGAGGGCTATCCCGTTCCACTTGACAAATAAACAAACAGCAGAGTAACTGGCAGGAAGTCATGTCCCTTTGGTGAGCAGGGCTCCAGCTCAGCAGAGGGCAAACCAGGCAGCATCATTTTCACTCCAGCACAAAGTGTCCATTCTTGACTCTTTGACCAAAGGAAGCAAAAGCAGAGGGATGACGAGCACAGCACATCTGCAGGGCTGGGTTTCACAGGAAGTTATGCAGCTCCTCCACAGATAAGTTTCACTGAAGAACAAAGACTGATTTTGTTCAATGCTCCGAGAATGCTGCATTGAACCTGGACTGAGCTTTTCATTCCTTGAAAATGAGGCTCAGAGAGCAAAATCTAATTTCTCCCTCACCCTTGTTTAAATTAGCTGCATGATTTTCATATCAGCCCTCTACTTACCATATGAAAAAAGCTTAAAAGACACCCACTCTTCTTCAACTAAGTTTACACGTTTTATGTATTGATTTTAGCAGACTAAACACAAGTTGGTGCATCCAAGATAAATGTCAGAGCAACAATGACTAAACCAGTTACTTGAAACTTAGTCTCTGATATAGAGCTGCCTTAAAGCTTAAGAAACAAAATATTTATGACCAAGAGTGAGACAAATGGTGCAATAGCACATTAGCAGGCAGTATTGTCACTGATTGCAAACATATTTTGAGCTTACATATTTCATGTACACCCTGACCTCAGAGGCATTCTACCCACTACAATTGGTTTTGCAGCAGCTCAACATTTACCAGGAGATAATGAGGTGTGTTTTTGAATGATACAAGCAGCATTAGATGTAGTGGGAGCCAAAAACATGATCATATTAAAAGCAAATAGCAGAGCAGATTACCTCTTGCCCTCTCTTTTAGCTTGAACAGCATATTCCAATAAGTGAAGAAGAGACACTGTCAAGTACTTCTTTATAGTTTCATTTTCTTTTTTTTTTTTTTTAATCTCCATTGCTTGCAATGCCCTTGCCCTCTTTAAAAGCTGCAGAATAAAACTCCTTTCTCAGTCAATTTTGTAGTCTCTCCCTCAGCAGAGAATGACAAGGGATAAAAAAAAGAAAAAAGCTCAAAACTTCATCCCCTTTCTAAAAGAAGAAGTAGAGATAAAGGTTAAAGATAAGTTTTCATCAAAATCTAAAGGAACAACTAAGTTCAAAAGAAGGTCATCTGTCCTGCTCCTCATTATTGCTCATTTCTACTGTGCCCAGCTCTGGGAAAATAGTGGAGCACTTTATAGCAAACCATAGCTAACAGTAAGCACAGCCTTGGAGATTCTGCTTTTTAAGGAGGGAAATGGGATCTTTTCTCAAAATATTTCTTGGGCATTTTTGGAGTAGAAGTTTTGAAACGTGAGGAGAACAAGGTAAGGATGGTCTGGGGGAGGTCCCTGGATCTGAGCAGTCTCACTGTGGCAGCTCGGTGATGCATATCCCTGGGCTGGGACTGGAAGCAAAGGTTGTTTGTGCTGGCTCAGGGACTGGGAGCCACATGGGGCAGATGGGATCACCTGGGAAGGTGGGCTGGAGACTGTGTGTTTACTCTGGCTGGGCACTCCAGAGCTGGAAGTTGTCCTTGTGAAGGAGAAAATCCAGAGCCCTTGAATTTATAGGTTGGCAGCCTCCAATTTTTATTTTTTTTTCCTAACTGCAGTTGAGAAACTGTCTCTTGGTGGTTATTGATAGAATTTTTCCTTCAGTTTCAGGACTGATAAGACTATTATTTCTTCTGTAACCTAAAAATCATATTTCTGCAGACTGTTATTTAAATGCTTGACCCTTGGTGCTGTCTATCACATATAAGAGCACTGCTTATGATTTAACATAGAGTTTGAACATGGCATTCACAATGATGCACATTTCTGTATTAAACATATAATTTACATGTGCTGTGGGACTGACTTTGATTTAATTGCTTTCTCTCCTCATGTACTGCAAATCTGTAAAAGAGCAGCATGAGGAAGAAAGGTCTCATGTCTCCACCTCCCTTCCCACCTTCCAGCCAGCACAAGTGATTCAAAAGTTAATTTCATGACATCACAGCAGTGATTACTCTCCAATAATAGTTTGCTCCCTTGTATGACAGTGTGCATTTGGGTCAGCAGATGCCATAGTGGCAATGCCAGAATCTTTGCCTGCATCTCACCTGTCCTTCCTGCAAACTTCACCAAACTTCTTTCTTTTATACTTTTCTTAAGGGATCCACAGGGAAGCAGCTCAGCTCCCCAGTACATCACACAATCTGATTTCTCTAGCCCAAGTTCTGATATATTCAAAATGAATCCAGAAAGAAGCAGAGACTGATTCACAACATAGCTACAACTCCATTACAACAGACAAACCCCAGCCTGCAGCTGAAGTTATTTCGCCAAAGCAACAAACAACTGCTTTTCAAGTAAAAGCAGCACATCACCTTGAGAAAACTGTTACATAAAATCACATCTTCCTACCTCTGGGGAAAAAGCAGCAACTGGCAGCTGCCTCTGGAGGGAAATTAGATGGAGGATCTGCTCCAAGATGGTACTTTCTGATCCCACCTCTTATCAGTGTGGTGGCTGAAGCAAAGCCACCACCTCCTGCTTCCTTCTGTCCCCCTCCAAATTCCCCGGGCAGCCAAACTTCTGTGGATGTGCAAATAGTTCAGGAGCAGCAGTCTGGCCAGCAGGTGAAAGAAATTACTCCCACTGCATACAGAAAATACAGGCATGAGAAGACACATGGTTTGGGATAGTGAGCTGCTATGAAATGCACTCTGGGCAACTGGGCATGGGTGTTTTCCTCTCCCCAAGTATCCACCAAGCTGTCCAAAACTTTGCTGTTTGAGAAGATATGCAAAGCAGAATGTGTGTAATTCATCGTGTCCAGCAATAAACAAAATATTAAGTGCATTTTTAATGACATAAAACCTTTTAAAATACTTTTAAATCTTTCACTGTGGGACATCATTAAAATTGTTTTGCTATCTGCAAAAGGCGTGGCCTCCAATCACATAATTAAGCAGTCAAAAATTGAAAAATTGGATTGTTTGGTTCCCACACCACACAAATACTGATAAAAGCTTTTTTTGTTTGTCAGTTAGTGCACTGTAATTTACAGGTTATGGGCAACACTGTTTGGCAAATTTAGAGTTTGAAGACCACATCCACCTCTCCCCATGTCTTGTCCACACTGGATACTTTACTCGGGCACTCACTATGGTTTCAGTAGCTGCATGCACTCAAATAATGCAGCAGCTACAACTTAAAATAAAAGATTTAAAGCTTATTAAGCATAAAGGATTGTTTCTTTTCGTATGAGACAGAGGGTTACACTTCCTGTAGCAAATTAAACCATCTCTAACCACTGCAAGGACTCATAAGCAGCAGCATATGCAGAGTGACTGGCTGCATTTTGTAGCTCAGTTTTTACAGACACAGACATGTGTCCTGCAGACCAGAAGCACCATATGCTCCAGGAAGCAAGTGCTGGGGCTTCTGCACCATCTCATGTACTCCTCCTGTTCCTCAGACTACCCAAGTGTGCACCTTGTACCCATGAGATTTTTTTATTCAGCAATGAATGTACAATCTGTAACAAAAAACCCCAAAAAACCAAACCAAAACAAAAACAAACAACCAAACAAAAAAATGCAGAAGGTCATGTGTAAATCATTTAAACAGGTTCTCTGTGAGACTTCCAGTAGTAACTTTTGGCACTACCAATCAACCAAAACTGCTATTGCTGAAATGTTGATTCTTTATGAACATCCCCCCTAGATTACAAGGGAGAAAACAGAACTATATCAGAAATACCTAAGGAAAGGGAAGCCAACATTCTCTCACAGGTTTTCCACTGCCTAGCAGCAAGCTAATGCTTAAGGCTCCACAGGACAGTTCAAAATGCATATAAAGATTTTTGCTTGCTGTCAAACACACCAGTTAACTGAGGCTTTTAGATCCCAACTTTGAACAAGGGTCTATGCAAAACATCAAAATCCTTGGAGGATCACCAGGAAGAACATAAGGAGGATACAATACTTCTATGTACTTTTGTGGGTGATAAGGGGAACAACAGTCTGCTCTTTGAAGAGTAGAGAGACTTCACATTCTGTGTTTGTGTTTATTTTCCAGCAGGATTTCCAATGTACCCAAGACAAATGTCCAGACTAAGTACTTTATGGAAAGAGGAAACATCTCAGTCTTGAATATACCATGGCAGGGTGTTTCATCACTACTTAGCTCATGAAGAAGAAATAAAGAGAACTTGACAGCAAATGAAACTGCTTGAGGAAACAAGCAGTGTGACTCTGCCCCAGAGGCTGATTAGTTCAGAAGGTTACCAAGTACAGTATTTACTAATATTTGCTAAAACTTGCTCTTCAGAATCAGGCTCCCCTAAATTTAATTCTCATTCTCTCTGCATTGCCTCTCTACATGAAGGTAGATGGGCAGCTTGCATACTTAGTCACGAATGAAAGAGCTTTGCTATTAAAAGGCCAAATTCACAATTCTGCTGTCATCTCTATGGCTACAAGGTTGCACTTTCAAAAGTGACAGAATTAGGCTTTGGTTATATCTATATAAAATTATTGCCTTATGAGAGGTGATTTGGATTTATGCTGGTGCAAGCTAAATTTAGCCCTGAAGCTGATGTTGCAGGGATTTTAACGAAGTGTTAATTTTATATGGCTTAAAATAGAATTGGAAAACACCTCCTACCCATTTTTTCTAATATCTAGGTTAGCGTGTCTGTTACTTCAATTACTTTGTGCTTTAAATTATTGGCATTTGACTTGTGGTTTTGGCAGATATAGTCTGCTTCCTCCAATTAACAAATTTCTGGTTTTAAATACAATTCAATATGGACAATGTTACCCCAATTTCATCCGCTGAGAAATTCAGAATTTGCTTGCACCCAGCCTGATTCTGCCACAGAAGCATTGCGCTGTAATTGTCACACATTTGCTAAAGCCCTGGTGTCAATTCACACTGGAGTCAAAAACCTGATCACAACAGGCAGGTGAGATTGTCCAGGTGTTCCTGGCAGAAGCACAACTGAACCTGCTCTGCAGCACTGCAGGTGTTGTGCAGCCACACCTCCCACTGCACCTGCACTGCTGTGCCAGCTCTTTTAAATTAAATCTCTGTTTCCAGGCCACCACATTGTTTTGGATGAAGAAATTCCATCTCCAGGGAGTGCTGGCATTTAGAGTTGTGCAGTTTGTCTGTGCACAACAGAAACACCTTCACACCTGAGCATATAACTATACATGAGAGCATATAACTACTGCACTACTACATGCAGTCCTTAAAAGCTACACACTACTTGCTACCTGCTAATCATCAGTAAGAGAATGTTACAGTCTTTTATGGATATTATTATTTTAAAATAAATAAACAAAGTGGATTTACATGTTCTGGATCCAGTTGTGGAATGAGCAGGCTGTTAAGAGAAGTCCCATATATCTGAGAATTGCTTTGCCACTGCTTAGCACAAACAATGCCTGCTGCAAACAAACAGCATCTTGGTGGTCTATATCACCATTTACAGGACCTTGAAACCAGCATGTTTCTGCCTCCAAACATTCTTCAAAGAGCAAGAGTGCTGAAATCACACAAATATCCTCTTTCAGGCAGTGTTATTTTGTCCAGTTTCACCTTTATTTCAAAGGGTCCACTTCTAGACTTTTCTATGCTCCAAGCAAAGATTTAGTGCTTCAGAAAAATACATTTGGGCTGCTCTGCCTGCCTCCTTCCTGCCTACAGCACACAGGAACTGGACTGAGGGCACAGGATTCCTCAGGTAACATCAATCCTGGCTCTCCCTGTCAGGCCCAGTTTATGTTTTGAATGCTCTGTGGTTGTGAGCAAGGCAGGAGGTGCAGGGTGCAGAGGCACTCCCACTCTGCTGCAAAGGATAATTCCCTGCTCCCAGGCACTCTGCCCCCTTCAATCACTGCCAGCCTTGGGGGGTTGGCTATGCTTCAGCTCGCCTCCAAATGAAGCTATGGAGGAGGATCCAGGCGATTCAGATGGTGTGGGATGGATGTCAGTGAGCTGGACCCTCAGTAATTAATGGTTCATAAAGATTCCTGGTATCCAAAATGAGCCTGGTTATGTGACAGCATCAATCTGTTCCAGGGGGTGATCAGAGGCAGGTGAGAGGAACAGGTATGTGCCATCACTGTCCAGGATGTGCCTGGGGAAGGGTCATGGCCAGGCTTCTTCCAGGTCTTGTTATTACCCATAACATCCCCTTTGTGCTCTGACAGTCAGTGCAAATCCCCCCAAAATCAAATGCCTGCAAAGGACAACAGAGGTGAGTTATCCTAGAGCCAAACTTCTCAGGTTTGTGTCAGCTATTCCACTCCTGTGCTAAAGGTGCAATTTCAGGCTAAAACAATGAAAAATTGGGTAGAGTTTCATTGAAGTAAGGTCATTCTCACAGTGGTGTTTCCTTGAAGTAGGAATGACCAAATCACAAAAAACCTCCTCAATCTTAAGGCTTTGTCAAGGCACTTTACCAGCTTAACCAGAGAATGAGATGTGAGCATGCATTCAAACTACTTGGTTTGGAAAGCAAATAACAAAACACCTTTTTTTTTTTTTTTTTTCAAACTAAATGCTCAGTGACTAACAAGAAAGAGCTAGGTGTGGAAGAAATATTACTTTTGCAAGAATTACTGGATTTTGTGGAAAGAAACTTAATTCAGAATTGAATTTCATTTGCTTCATTCAGAATTCTTCCCCCTCCTCCTTTTTCAAACCAGTATTTCTATTTATTACCTAAGAAAAAGAATTAAAATATCTCCTCACCCCTGGATGAAGCTTTATTACTGATAAGGATCCTTTTCAAAACTGCTTTGATTAAATGAAGAAAAAGCAAAGATGAATAGACAGCTAAATATCCTCTAATAAGAAAAGTTAATAAGGAAAATGGTTCTAATATTTCTTTCTGTGATAATGGTTCCATTGTTTTGATTGGAGAGGCAGAAGTGAAGCATACACTCAGTGCTGCATTCCCATGACTAAATCACCTGTAAGATTGCATTTTGCATTTGAAAGCTCTTTGACAAGGTCTGTCCCAGGGTAGATGCCTTCACTTCTTTGATGCGGTTAAGCAATTTTGCACAATCATGTAATGGATTAAATTAGACTTAGTCTTCCTTGAATGTTTTATATGAGGTCTGGGTTAGAGACTGAGCTCAGCAGCATCTACTCACAGTGAAGAGCACAGTTGAAGACATTTTGCAAGATGGGCTTAAGTTGAGGAATCAAAATGAGAACACAAACCTCTCCCTGTACAGAATAAATATGCCCTGTTTTTAGTGACATTACTCTTTTTTTTTTTTCCCTTTGCTACCTCTGAGCTGGAATATTGAATTGTGTAATTTTCTACTATTCCATAAAAACTTTTTGAAGGTGAGGAAAAAAATGAACCCCACTGCACTTAATACCTCAATATATTAAGTAATTAATCAATTAACCTCTCTCAAAAAGCGGTTTTGAGAGAAGAAATCAAAGATTGCAAGTTCTTTCATATCACCAACAACAAACCATCCAGTCTTCATCCCTGGAAGAGTTCAAGGCTGGGTTGGATGGAGCTCTGAGCAACCTGGTCTAGGGAAAGGGATTCTTGTCCACAGTAGGGGATTTGGCACTAGATGAACTTTAAGGTCCCTTTCAATCCAGGGCATTCTAGGATTCTGTGATTCACATCACTGATGAAACATGAAGCCAGTAAGAAGGAAAAAGCCCCTCCCCACTCAAAAGTTACTTTCATCTTTTAAATTTAACTTGTATTTAATGAAAGCATTTAATGAGAATATTAAACATTTTGTAGATATTTACCTATAACATAAAATAGACTGGGGGAGTCCATTTTGGGGAAAAAACACCCTTGATCAGGCAGTCTGCATTTAATAACATAGCATAGGACATAAGCATTTCATAAAAAATAAATGTAATAATTAGGCCTCATTTTTTTACTACCTGGCCTGTATTTAAAGGTCTGGTTTAAGGTGCAAATGGAAAGCTCCCCTTTGATTTCAGGAGACTTTGGCTGTGTGTTGCTTAATAACAGCTTTGCAAATGAAGTGTCTGTTGGCTACTGAATGTGACACATTTCCTGGCATTTTAAAAAAACTCCTCTAAATATACAGAAATTGTCTACTCTTGGAGTTCCTTAAGACTGAGGGAAAAAACCCAACAGCTGACACTATGTTAGCCAACAGAATTTGGCTAAATAC